ATACACCCACAGTCATTGGGCCTGGGCGGATTCGTTGATGTCGGTGCTGCTGCTGCTGCTGCTGCTGCTGCTCTGGAAGCAGCCATAGCATCATCAAGCGCACCCAAAGCATCGAGCAGCAGCTGCTGCTGCTCTGCTGATTGCTTACTAGGCACCATCCCCAACCTTATGCTGCGGGAGAAGAGCCGCAGGAAGGGGCGCAGCTCCTCCTTGCTGCTGCTGCGTGCTGCTAGTGCTTTGAGTCTGCCGACCATGGGTGCGAACTGCAGCCGTTCTCGAGATAAACTGCTGCTGCTGCTGCTGCTGCTGCTGCTGCTGCTGCTGCTGTTGCTGCTGCTGCTGCTGCTGCTGCTGCAGGAGCGCAGCTCTGTGCCCACCTCTAATATACAGTTCTCTAATACATCCTCCAGTATCACGCAGACAGCACGCCGCCACGGCTGCAGGTCCCCCCCATCGTCTCCGTTTTCTCCTTCGTTGCTGCTGTCTCTTGCTGCTGCTGCTGCTGCTGCTGCTGATGATGATGATGAGGAAGAGGAGGAGGAGGATGAGGAGGGTGCGGCGGGAGGGGGAGGAGGGGTTGATGTGCTGCTGCTGCGGGTGCTACCGCTGCTGCTGCTGCTGCTGCTGCTGCTGTTGCTGTTTGTAGATCCATGTGAAGAAGACCCAACTACAGGGCCAACCAATGAAGATAGAGGAGAAGGGCCCCAGCTGCTGCTGCTGCTGCTGCTGCTGCTGTTGCTGCTGCTGTTGTTGCTGCTGCTGCTTGTGTTCGTGCTGCTGCTGCTCAGGGGGCTCCTTGCTGCCCACTGCGGCAGCCCCAAAGACACAGCTGCATGCGTCGCTGCTGCATCGTCTGCGCTGTTTGCTGCAGCAGCGGCCCCTCCCCCTCCTGCTGCAGCAGCAGCAGCAGCTGCTGCTGCTGCTGCTGCTGCTGAGACAGACCTGCTGCTGCTCCCATCGGCTATCAACCGAAGCAATGCATGCACATTGTCGGCGACGGTACTGTCTTCTAGGGGTTCTCCCCAGACCTGTGTTGCTGCTGTTCGTGTGTCTGCTGCTGCTGCTGTGCATGCACTTTGCTGCAGCTGCTGCTGCTGCTGCTGTTGCTGCTGTTGCTGCTGCAGCTGCTGCAGTTGCTGCAGCTGCTGCAGCTGCTGCAGCTGCTGCAGCGCAGCAGCTTCAACTCCTGTAGATGCAACTCCTCTACCCCCACGATCCCCAGCAGCACCCAGCAGCCCAGCTGACCTCGCCACCAGCCGCAGCAAGTCTGCTTCGATGTTCCTGCTGTCCTGCTGCTGCTGCTGCTGCTGCTGCTGCTGCTGCTGCTGCTGCTGCGGGAGACGTGTTGCATACTCCTGTTCAAGTCGGTTTTGCTGCCGCTGCAGCAGAAGGCTCTTAAGAGCCTGCAGCAGCACGACGGTATCTTGCTGTTCACTTCCGTGCTGCTGCTGCTGCTGCTGCTGCTGCTGCTGTTGCTGTTGCTGCTGCTGCTGCTGCTGCTGCTGCTGCAGCCTGTTCGCCAGCTGCAGCAGCAACTGCGTCCGTATATCCCCATCTGTTTGGGGTGTATCTACACCTTCTGCATAGAAGGGATCGCTCTTAACTGCGAGGGGCCGCGCAGCACTTGCTGCTGCTGCTGCTGCTGCTGCTGCTGCTGCTGCTGCTGCTGTACCATTAGGAGAAAATAAAGAAGCAGAGACGTCCCCCAACTCCCCCTCTGATCGAGAAGAACGAACAGACATAGATCTGCTGCTGGCTTTCCTTCTTGCTGCTTGCTGCTGCAGATGCTGCTGCAGCAGCGCCCACTGTGAGGCCGACAGCTGGTCAGAGGGGCTGCAATCCTGCTGCTGCTGCTGCTGCTGCTGCTGCTGCTGCTGCTGCTGTTGTAGTTGCTGCTGCAGCTGCTGATGTAGATGTTGCTGCAACAGATGATGCTCTTCACCCTGCAAAAGCAAATGCTGCTGCTGCTGCTGCTGCCGCTGCTGCTGCTGCTGCTGCTGCTGCTGCTGCTTCGCTTTCTTTGCGTTCGGTGTTCTACCTGCGGCTGGCCGCCCGCCTTCGTCTGCTGCAGCAGCAAGCAGAG